TAAGAATAAATTATAATTTTATTAATTTTGCAGTCTCCTATCTACTGCCTCTAGAAAGCCTAAGCAGCCAATCTACTCTGGGACCTGATTCTCTGCTGCTCTGCACCTCGTGCTACCACTTACACCTGTGCACAGTGGATGTAAAGTTCTATTCGTTCTGATGGATTGTGTTTTACGTGCACTTTGCACAGATGCAAATGACTACACTAAGGGGCAAGACAGCGAAGAATCAAGCCCATTACCTTCCACACTACTCTGGATCTGACAACCACCACAGAGAATAACTTCTCTAAAGACAGAGGCGATCTCCATGCCTGGCAGCACAAACCAAGCAGCTTTCCCCTCCTTCCCCCTAAGCATTCTGGCTAGGGCACAGCAGGCTTTATCCCTGCTCAGCAGTTCCTATTCCCCTCCCTGTATCTTCAACTCCTCAGCAAGTGGTAAGAACCCACAGCTGATGGCAGAAGTTAAAGGAGCCATCAAGCAGCCGGGGAGTACAGTAGGCTGAAAGGTCCTCGGTTGCCTTAAAGCAGAGAAAAGTTTTGTGCTGACATGACCGCTCAGATTCAGCTGCCAGTGCATCTGTGGGGGCAGGTGAGTGTCCAGCAGAGAGACACACCATATCATCTCTTTGCATTTCAGCCAGCCTGAGCTCATGACAGGTGCTGGGCTGCTGCCTGCTAACTGTACCCTGTACACCTCACGGATAGTGAAATCAAGGGGGGAAGTACTGGATCCATTGTTGGTGCCTCCATACCTGAGTGTAGGGGGGCTAGATTCCCTCAAACACAAACGTGCTAAAAAAAAAAAAAAATCTCGCTTGATGTTGATAGTGTTGCTAATTATCATCCTTTCTCTAAGGTGGTGTTTGGGGCAAGGTTGTGTTAATGGTGACAGCAAGGCAACTTCGGCGCCATCTGGAATCCTCTCGTGGCTTTGTTCAGGATCTGGTTGGGTCTCCTCCGAGCAATAGACAAAGCTCAAGTAACTTTGATGCTGTTGACTACAAGGTTTTGTCTCAACTGTGGAGCCTGGCTGGGGTAGACTGTATGGTAACTCACCTTCCCTTTAGCTTGTGCGCAATATTCCCTTTAATTTGGTACCTACCTCGCATCTCACATGGCTAGGAGCACAGCCAGCACCTAGAACAGCTCCTCTTGGTGCTGGGGACAGCAGAAGGCCTTGAGCAAGCAGGGAGGAGGGATAAGGAGCAGCGGTGGGGGAGGAGCCAGCACCTGGGTCCCATTCTGTTTGACAGGCCCCATGACAGATCCTCTCAGAGCTGCAGGAAGCTTCAAGCCAACAGGGAAGGGTGAGGGACTGAGTGCCTGTCTGTCTAACCCCAGTGTGTTCTGAAGAGAGGTGGAGGAGCACCTGTCTTGTGTGTCTGGCCCGATCTGACCCGATCAATGTTCCCTCTAATTTTTTTCGTCCATGTGTGGAATAAATTTCCCTCTTTCTTGTGGCATCCTGTGAAAAAATAAAAATTAAATATAATCAGAATTTATTCCACTCAAGTACTAGTTCAATTGATGGTTCTATAGAAGTGACAATGTAAAAAAAAGTTAGGGTGTGATTTGAAAGGGGACGGCCCTCAACCATTTGAGCTGTTTTTGACTGAAAGCTACACACATCTGTTTTTAACTAGTGGTGCTTCCACTGTTCAACCCATTTTCATAAGCCTTCATGGAGCTTCCATCCACATGAGCAAGAATTCAGACTGATCTTTCCACCTCCCTTGGGATTACAGTGATTGAATTTTGCCCTCCATCCTCACACTGAAGAATTATGTAAGCCCCGTAACGGATATGATTGGTAGGCCTGGCACTAAAGAGAAGACTACATTTGGGAGTCTGCTCATCTCATCTGAACGGGGTACAGTAATCTGGAAAGGTTGGGAACCACTGCTTTAGCTCCATCTGTGGAATGGATGGTGAAAGCGACAGGGTAACGAGCAGGGTAATAATGCTCCAAAAATGCCCTGTACACACAGAGCGGAAGCACATCAGCAAGTAACCACATGAACACACCAGAGCAGAGAGGGAAGCAGAGACAGGCTGAAAAAAATCAAAGAATGTGCAGCACTGTACGATAGGCACCTCCTGTAGAATTGTCTTGTTTCTTGTTTTGCAAGAAACTTGCCTTCAAACCTCCTCTCCTAGTCCCCACACCCAGCTTCACCATCATTGACCTTCATGCTCCCTTCCCCCTCATTCCCTTGCTGAGCAACAGGCCACTTCTCTCTCAGCAATAGAAACCCCCTCTCCTCCCCTTCTCCCGTCTGTAAGGGCCAGAGCCACAAAGGAACGGAGGGGTGGCAACATGCAGTGGTGCAAACATTAACTTTTAGGGGCCTAGAAAAATCACTGAAACAACGATGGGATCAAAGGACGCTGAGTTAGGCACCCAGGGATCCTATACAATGAATGGGGAGAATTCAAGAATGGGATCGACAAAAGCCAGCAAGCTAGGTGTGGAGGGGCTTAAGCTAGCCAATGGGAGATGGGGAGAGAGGGCTGTATCCTAAGCCACACCCTTCTCATGGATTTGGCACATACATCCAGGCAGCAGGGAGGCCGCCTCTCCCTGCTTGCAATCCACAGCCAGGAACCCCTCTTCTAGTGTCAGATGGCTTAGGTGCCCTACAGGTGGCAGACAGAGGCGGGCACTGAAGCAGGGTCTCCCACATCCTGGGTGAGTACCCTAACCACTGGGCTAAAGCTTATGAGGATGGACACTGCCTCTTCCTCCCACACCCATTCTGAGTAGAGCTTGGCATGCTCAGAGGCAGTGGCAGAGGCAGTGCGATCGGGAGCGGTGCCGCAAGTACGACCGGCGCTGCGATGGGGAATGGTGCCAGGACTCTGAGCAGTGCCAGGACCAGGAGCAGTACTAAGGCTCGTCCAACAGAGCCTGTGGTGCCGATGGCCAGATGAACGCCAGCTTGCCTCGAGATGGTGCCATCTGCTGAGGCACCGGAGACTTGGCATGGAGCAGAGGAGACCCCGGTGCCGTCATGGTGATGAGGTCCCTCACAGCCGCAGAGGTGTCCGGGGTGGAAGGCAGCTGCATTTCCACAATGCTGTGGGTTGGGGAGTCAAGCAGCACCTGACTCAACGGGTCACCCAGCGGGGCCGAAGTCGACGGTGCCGCGTCCATGACCTTCGCTCCCGGGAGCTCCCCTCCGGGACACACCAGTGTCTTGGCCAGGGGGGCGAGTCTCTGCGAAGGAGAGCCACCCTTCTCCGGCTTCCAGTGCCAGGTTGATGTCGCCGGCTTTGGTGCTGGGGAGTGGCAGTGCCGTGGGTCTTGCCCAGAGTCCATCCGAGGTGCTGCCTTGGTGCTGTGCACCGAAGAGCTTGGTGCCGGGTCCTGCCGCGCTGAAGGAGGCTGGGGCCTAAGAGCCGCCTCCATAAGGAGCTGCTTCAGGCAAAAGTCCCACTCCATTTTAGTCCGAGGACGAAATCCCTTGCAGATCCTGCACTTCTCGGCTTGGTGAGCCTCCTCCAGACACTTTAGACAAGAGTGATGGGGGTTGCCCATAGGCACGGGCATAGAGCAGGACGTGCTGGGCTTGAATCCTGGGGACTTGGACATGTGAGCCCCGAAGAAAACAGTCGGGGTGGAGGGTAAACCCCCCAACCCAACTACCACTAACTACAACAAAAACAAAGAACTACCAACAAAAGCAAACAACAACTATCTACAGCGCTAGGGAAACGTGGAGAACTTGCAGAGCAAGACGTCACAGTTCCAACGACCATCACGGGTGGTAAGAAGGAAATGAGGGGGCACCAGGTCGGCAGGGTCATATATTGAGCGCCATGGAAGCGCCACTCCAGGGGGCTCCACAGCTGACCCGACGGATGCTCCTAGGGGAAAAGCTTTCCAACGGCCTTGCACGCGGCGCGCACACCTAATGGGAATGGATATGAGCAAGCACTAGAAGAAGAACCCCTCTTCTAGTGTCAGATGGCGTAGGTGCCCTATAGGTGGCAGACAGAGGCGGGCAATGAACCAGGGTCTCCTACGTTCTGGGTGAGTACCCTAACCACGGGGCTAAAGGTTATTAAGAAGGACACTGCCACTTCCTCCCCACACCCATTCTGAGTGGAGCTAGGCATGCTCATAGGTATTATATCTAAAACCAGGACTTAGGTGCCTAAACCCTAGTTACAGGCACCTAAGCCCCTCTTTGTAGGTCTAGCCCAAACCCTCCTTCCCACTCCGCTTTGAAACAGTGATAGTTTCATCCCCTCCCATGGACCCTGTTTCTATCTTTACAACCCTGGGCTTCTCTCTCTCTCTGGCGGCTCATTCCCTCACTTCTGTGCCTCAATTCTGGCCAAAATTTGACAGCTACACACACCTTTCTCAGCTTGGCTTTCGTTACTGTCTTGGAGGCTCACTTGTACATCTTGTTGTATCTCCTCCGACTTTGCTGCTTCACCTGAAAGGGGAAAGACAATGATATAAACTTCAGAAGTACAGAACACTAACAGTTTCAATGGCAACTATGATTTCTACCCCGGCCACCTGCTGGGGACTGGTTACCAGTTGGGATTAATGAACCCACCAACCTCTCCTACTTTTCAGTCCCCAGCAAATGCCCTTGATCATCGCCGCTGCACTTGGCCATTTCCTGCACAGTTTATATGAAATAATTTGGACAAAGGGAGCTGTTACTATTTTACATTTACATTCAAACATTAGATTTCTCATGCTTGAATGATCACAAAGCACCTCAGAAACTACATAGCTACTAAAATGTAGCCACCTCTGGGGTGGAGAGTGGCAACTAGTTAGCACACAACATGTTATACAAGTTGTGTAAGGAGGGGAAATTTTGGCCTATCGTACCTGAGCAAACCCCTGTTCTTACCAGAAGTGCCAGGGGACCTTTTAAAGTGTAGTTCTATTCTACAGACCAGCTAACAATGGCATTTTGGGTTCCATGTTTTAAAGATTCCTAATCAAATCCTCTCATTTTACATGACATGGGCTCTGGGTGAGATCCTGATACTCGCACCAGCCCCTCTTTAGCAGGGCTGGAGTGGTGTAAAGGAGCACTACAGCCCCCTCCCCATTCTGAGTGGAGGAGAATTCTCCTGGCCTAGGCACTGCAGAGTGCAGCCTTTAGGCTGTCCTCCAATGACGTTCTCTCAGGCCCCAGCATAGGGAACAAAGTGGTGAGATGGATGCTTTGGCGGAGGGGCCATTTTGGGCAGCGCTGTGGCACATAGGGCAGCCCCGGGATGCAGCCAGAATGGACGGGCTGTCTCGGTTATGTCAGTTCCATTATGGCCATCTGCCCCAGGACAGGGGACTCCAGGCTCCTAGGGTCCATGGCCCTGGGGTAGCCCCACAACCCCAGAGTTTCCAGCCTCCCTGACATGGAGCCAGAAGCCTGAAAGCCCTGGGAGAGTCAACTAACTGGGGCTCGGCTCCTAGCTCTGCAGCAGGGAGCCTGAAAAACTTGTGGGCTCTCAGGGCTTCCAAGCTCCCTGCCACGCAGCTGGGAGCCTGGGGGTCCTCCTACAGCCACCCAGGGGCTGTGGCTCCAGGACACTGACTGCCCAGAGCTTCCAGAATCTTGGGCCAGCTGCTCCAGAGCATCAAACCCTTAGGGTACGTCTACACATGGATAAAACACCCACGACTGGACCAGGTCAGCTGACTTAGGCCTGCAGGGCTCGGGCTTGGGGCTGAAACAGCTGTATAGACGTTCAGGCTCAGGCTGCAGCCTGAGCTATGGCACTCTGTGAGGGGGAAGGGTCTCAGAGCTCAGGCTCCAGCCTGAGCCAGAACATCTACACAGCAATTTTTTAGCTCTGCAGCCCAAGTCTGAGTCAGGTGACCTGGGCCAGCCACGGCCCTGCCACAGGTCTCTTCGCCCAGTGTAGATGTGCCCTGGGAGACGCTAATGGAAAAAGACATTCTTGTCAGTTTCACAACAGCTATGAAGAATGTCAATTTCACTCTGCAGCTGCCATCCCAGGGAGCTAGTTTCATTTCCTATCTGAACTGAAATCATATCAGAATTCCTGATTCATGAGAAACTTCAAAATGCTGAGATTTCTCATGAACTGGAAATCCCAACTTCCAGCCAGCTCCAGTGTGGCATTTTGGAACCATGGTGATGGTGAGGCAACTTCAGAGCCATCAGAAATCCTCAGATTTCCTCAATCTCTTGGGGCTTTGCGCTGGGTCCAGCACAGAGACTTGTCTTCTTCGTTTAGGATTCCCTCCTAGCAATGGACAAAGGTCAGGCATCTATGGTGATTAGTTTAGATCTGTCTGCAGTGACCATGACAATCTATGGTGAATAGTTTAGATCTGTCTGCAGTGACCATGACAATGCTGACTATGCAATTTTGTCATGACTGCACGGCCTGGCTGGGATAATCTGTGTGGAAACTGTTTTGAAAGCAGCTCTGTGGATTCCTCTCAGAGTTTACAGTGGATGTCACTGGGAAATTGTTCACGTGTCATAAAGAGTTTCTCATACAATGTCTTAATGGTAATACTTTGCTCTTACGTGGCTTTGAGATCTAGGGATGCAAAGTGCTCTTTACAAAGAAAGGCAAGTATCATTATCCTCATCTTAAAGATAGAGAAATTGGGGAACGGAGAAGGGAAGGGATTTGCTCAGCATTATCAGTGTTAAAGATATAGCCAGGTTCTTCAGAGCAAACTCTCTGGTTTGGAACACCAGGGAATGATCTCCACTGGCTTAAAACGCAGGTCTATCAACTTTGCTGATCCCACCAAAACAACCAAAGGCCTGCCCCTCAAACCATGTGTATGTAGTAACCCTGACCCGGGCACTAGTACCTGCAGCAGCTGTGATGCAGCAGCTCAGAATGCTGCCCTGGAGGGGGAGAGAGCCAGTGCCAGAAAGAAGGGGCCTGGAATCTGCCCAAAGAGGGTAGTTGGAAAATGTTGTGAGAGGGGGAGGAGGGAAGGAGAAGAATTGAGGTGCTGAGTTAGCAGGTGAACAGGAGCTGGGGTGAATAATAAATGAAGGACAGGAGAATGTAAGTAGGGAAGTAAGAAGGAGAAAAGAAAGAAAACAGGAAAGGTTTTAGGTTAGGAGAAACAGAGAAAGCATAGATCTGGGTATGTAAGCAGGCACTATTAGAGAGGGGAAGCCGAGGGAAATAAAATTTACAGATATACCGTGGGGGAGGAGGGAAGAGAGGGAGACGGAGAGAAGCAAAGCAAGGGAAAAACCAATTGGTGAAAAAGGGAATTGATCAAAAAGCTGTTAGATGAAAACAGATTCTGAAAACAGTTAATGAGAAGCGCAAGCACAAAGGACATAAAGTAAATGAACAGAGAGAATAACTGTGTGAACATCTATTGAAAGAACAGAGTTCAAAGACACCTAATGGACAGGTGAGGGCCCACTAGGTGAAGAAATCCTTCTTGTGGATAAACTGTAAAGAAAAAGCCACAGGAACATCGAATGTAAGGAGCACTATACGCCGAAGAGAAGCAAAGAACAGGACAGCAAGGGTGGAACAGGACTTACAGCCAAGTAGAGGAAAAGTTGATTCTTCTCTGAAGTCACTTATATCTCCTTTGTTCTTTTCAATAACAATGCATTTGGTATTAACTGCACAGAGTAAGGAAGAGTAGTATGTACAAGCTTGCAATGGTTAATGTGTTGGTAATCTATAGTTTATTATTATCAGTAGTAAGTAGTTGGTAATGTTCTATATTATTTATGCGCCTGGTACAATTTTGGGGTTTTCCCTTATAAAGTTCTAAACATTTAAAAATTATCCCTTTTGTCTTGGTTTGCCTCTGTCTCTCCTCACAGAGAACATAGCCTAGCCTAGTCAGGTCAGTGCATGTATATAACAGGTGTACATTTTTATCCACATACTATCAGTGGGGATTAAGACAGTAGAAGGAATAATGTTCTCAAACTCACAAAGGGGAAAATTTAGACATTAGGAGACAAAACTAACATTTTGTTACAAAGTACCAGCAATCATAGACCGAAAGAGGAAACTTACTACTGATTAATACATGAATTAATGGAACTATCTAGGATGGGGCACCTAAATTGCTGTCTCAGAACCACACCTGTTCTGCAGGGCTCTGAAATGCAGCCCAAGCCTGCCCTTTCCCCCTAATTTCTTCATGGAGAAATAAAATTCATTTTGGGCAGGAACATAAGTAATTTATAAAGGCAAGGTCATCCATTCAGGTAACAAACAGTACAAGGTGAATAGTGAGTAGCAAAAGACATTCAAAGGCAATAGTTATCAGGAATCCATTGGCAGAAAATAGTGTAATAAATTTAGCCCTGGTCTACCCTACAGAATTACTTCGGTATAACTACGTCACTCAGGAGTGTGAATAATACACACCCCTGAGTGACGTAGTTACACCAACCTACGTGCCAGTTCAGACAGCACTACGTCAGTGGGACAGCTTCTCGCATCAACATACGGTAGTTACCACCTCTCACAGAGTTGCCACCTCTCCTGTCGGCTTAGAGCATCTTCATTAAAGCGCTACAGCGATGCAGCTGCATCAGGCCTGCCCTCACTGTGCTGGCTGACACCTCCACAGACACTCAGCTCCTAACAGGTGTGGCTCTGACCCAGACAGAAAGAACTCTGGAGTCTGGAAGGAACTCTGGGAGGAAGGTCAAGGCAGTGGGTGTTTCCTGCCTGAAGGGGACAAAGTCAGCAGTTGCAGCAGGAGGGGATGGGAGCCATCTCTGTACTCTCTTCCAGTAATCAGTACACCTGCTGTTACTGTGCTCATGCCAGTGTCATTGTTCCATGGACTCAGCCTGCCTGTGCTAATTCACATGAAGGAGACCACGAGGTCACATATCAATAGTTTGTAGGACCTACTCAAACAATTTTGAATAATGAGCAAATTTATAAAAATCCATGTCTACTCACAACAACTAATTTGCACACAGATTGTTCTAATACACTTTTCTGCAAACAGTTTAGCCAATCAGGCATAATTCCACTGAAGTCAATGAAGTTACACAGGTGAAAACCCAACAGAAGTGTGAGAAGAATAAGGCCCAATAATACTAGCATCTTAACCCACCCACCTACTGTTTGCAGAAACAGAGAAGCAAATAATTACATCTTGACAGAGCAAAAACTGTATTTGAGTTACTGTTCAACTACCAGTGTGTGTGTGTGGGGGGGAAGAGAGCGAAATCAGAGAAAGTTCTCTCCCTACAGTATTTTCTGTGATGCCTCTCTCTGTGTATGCTAGGCATTCAGTGGTAATTCATATAGGAAATCTTGTTGCAAGCTACTGGGCCTTGGAGTCTAGCTACATTTGCAAACAAGCAACACATAAAGATGAACTGGAAAACTTGAAGTGATCTGTTTCACAAAATGGGCCAGGCATGTCACCTGAGTCTACAGTACTCCCGATTAGCCAGGGGTTTCAAGCATCTCCCAAGACCTGGTGCATATTGAGGCTATGCTGTAGTGTGTCTGTACCTCTTTTAATCTTAGTTGTTTTAAATGTTTATGATAGTATCAACAGACGCCTGCTCATGTGGAAGAGAAAAACCGGTCTCTGGTTTAAACATTAATAGAGTTAAACTCTGTCCAATTATAGCATAAGACATTTCAGGAAAGGACAAAGCTCATTGTGGTCCTGTACTTTTGTGCCAAGTCACCCAATGTAGCTGTAAATATTTTTCTTATCTAATACTAATAATTATTAGAATTTTCAAAAGGGAGCGTTTGTATTTCTATGAATATATTTCTATGAATAATGAGACCATCTATAGTTACATTAGGTAAGATAAAAATTAGAAGGGCTATAAACCCTCATGCTTCAGGGCATCAGACAACCTCTGATTTATAAGGTCAAGAAGTAACTTTCCCCATGGGCAAGTATTCTGTAATCAATCATCCATTATGGGCTTTCTTCCTGTGAAGCATCTGGTACCAGCCATTGCCAGAGACGGCACTCTGAACTAGATCAGCACCAAAGCTGGGTCTGATCCAGCCTGGCAATTCCTACATCTACATTTCTATCTGTAGGCCGATTTATAACTCAAAATTCCAGTGGAGCAGATCTGTATGAATTTTTTTTTAAACTTTATTTGCTCCTCAGCTGAGACATTGGGACCGAACCTGCTCACAATGAAGTCAATTGTGACACGAGGCAGATGAGGCCCTTTGTATGCCAGGTTCCAGCCTGGAGCAGTTTTTACAGATGATTTATAAATCCCTAGACAGAAGTGTTTGTACTAGAAATGCTAACAGACCATTAACGATAGCAGTGTGGCCAGTACAAATATATTATATTCCAGCACTCTCACCTTCTTTTTGGCCACTTTCTTCCGGGAATCTGTCATCATCTGTGAGGTGTTGTTCTTCAGGCTTACGTGCAGCTAAACAAATGAAGTACAAACTTGTATGTGTAAAAAAAATCCCAATGCACATCAGCATAAAAATGTCAAAAACCTCAGGTCAAGAATTATTTAAATTTTCTATTCACAAAATGAAACCAATTATATTACTCAAGACACAAACTCATAATTCAGTAAAATACTATACTAATACAGAAGAAAAGACAAGATCCCAAAACAAAACAGAACCACCACCTCTAACCCACTTTAACTCAACCTCAAGAGGCTGAGTAAAAAAATGGATCTTGCACCAACAAACTTAGGCTTTGTCAGACCAGTTGAAGTGAAGCTGAGGGCCATTCGCGGAGAACAAGCCACTCCCTCCCCAGATAATTAAAATCTACAGACTGTTAACTCATGTGCATAGCTGATCTCAACTGCCATGATGGTTCACAGAAAGAGGCGTGGGCATCCATTTAGTTCTGTACTTATCACTGTAACAGTTGAGTGGCTCATCAATATGGCTTTATCTTTGCAACACCTCTCTGCGGTAGGACATAATTGTCTCCATTTCCTGATGGGGAGCTAAGGACATCAGCGACTTTCAGACACAAGTATGCTCCCTGAAAGCAACCCACCCAGTTTGAATCCAATCAAACTTGACTGTTCAGTAAATAGGAAATTCTTCACAGCATTGTAATGCAGGCAACCGAGAACCACCAGGCTTCAACCACCTGGGACAGTTACGCCAGATGAATGCGAAGGTTGAGAAAAAGCTCTGTCTCCATTCCAGCCTCAACATGGCAGCTCAGACATTCTCAGTGATGCAATGGAACAGTGTGCAGTTTCTGTGCCTGATGCCCTAACACCTACTTCGTATATTTTATCTGGTGTAGGTCACATGTACACCAAAATGATCTAAGCAGATGATGCAAAGAAAGAGGATGCATTGGAGACTCAGTACTAATGGGTGAGGACAAAAGTGATCATAATACCCTATTGGCACATTGCTAGAGTGAGCCACTAGATATGGAGTATTCTCCTGTAGAAAAACCTGAAACCTAGCAGGGTCCATCAACCTCTGTTGGATCTGAAGGGAACATGGATTGGCCCTGACCTCAAACTGCACATGGTAATGGTCGGATCCTAAGAAAGGACTAGCTTTCACCCCTCGGTCTCCAAATGGGATCCGAAGTGCCCAGCCCCATGTGCAGAGCCAAAATCTCTTGACAGAGGTCTATGATTGACATGCCAACCACGAGATTCCAGCAAAGCCCACAAAAGTCATCACCAATGTGGACAGCAGAGTCACCTAAGACATGTGCCTTGTTAGCGGCTCTCTCAAATCAATGCCAATACCGCGGCTTTCAGTATGGTGGGTACATCACACGGGACGCTGCGGTTGTTTGGGAGTACAAGACCCTGGCCACTCCAGACCTGTTGATACACCAAGACCTCAAGTAATTGCTACTCTCTTGACTCAACTCCAAGAAACCCTTCTGGATCCATGCATCAACACTACAGGCCAATGGAAAGAACACTAGCTCTTGCTGGCTTGAATCATGCGATGCTTGTGACATCTCAAAACAAAGACCTGACTGAAGATCTAACAAACAAAGTCCCGGGGTTCTGCCTTCCCCAGAGGCAGTGGACTGCACCCAGCCACATTCAGAAAACACACAGAAGGTGTGGGTATCTCCTCCACAAATGGAAAATCAAAGAATAACCAAATTGTGACTGTGATGAGGTATAAACCATGCGATACATCAGACAATTGTCCCACTCACGCATACAGTGTGGCACAAGGGGGATCCATCTAGCTACCCCAGAAGCATTAGAATGGCTTTTGTATCTCAAGATTCAATTATAATCCCAGCCCATTGCTTTTCAAATACAAAAGCAGCCTGGGCAATTCCAGGGCCAGAGCAGACAAAAACTCTCTTAGCTCAGGAAAAAGTTCAGAAGTCCAATGAGGCACCCTGTATACCACACCTATTCCCAAATTAACCCCTCTCTCGTGTTATACCCCAAACACTCTCTCTCTCTTTCCTTCAAGTCAGTTAGGCCCACACCCACCAGTGACTCCCCTCCCAACTTGAAACCTGATACAAACAAAACAGCGACACCTGTTCCTACCATTCATTCCTAGCAGGCACTGAACGCCTGTCTGGGGAGCTGAGCTAGCAAAGAGCCAGATGAATCATCCAGCCAGGGCTTGTGAAGGGCATTTATCAGCCACAGACGGCACATTAAATAGCATCAACCAAAGAATAGGGTTCCTGCCAGCCAATGTCCTGTCCTCCCAAGATGAAACCCTTTGATGGGCTCAATAGGGAAAATAAAAGTTCTCGAACTGTAAGTCTATGTCTCAGGAATCTCTTAGGGTCTCTCTGCATGCTCTTCATAAAGGGAACACAAGAGCCCAAGGACGCATAAAGAAACCCCCACCAGTGCGTCAACACATTCTGTTCCCAGCAAGAATATTATTGTGAAGCCTCAGTTATGAAGAGCTGCACACAGTGTATATGTCCACACAAGAGATCCACTTCTTGGACACTACAGTGCAAATAAGTGATGGTCACATAAACGCCATCCTATACCGGAAACCTACTGACCGCTATACCTACCTACATACCTCCAGCTTCCATCCGGGACACATCACACGATCCATTGTCTACAGGCAAGCCCTAAGATACAACTGAATTTGCTCCAATCCCTCAGACAGAGACAAACACCTACAAGATATTTATCGAGCATTCTTAAAACTACAATACCCACCTGGGGAAGTGAGGAAACAGATTGACAGAGCCAGACGGGTACCCAGAAATCACCTACTACAGGACAGGCCCAA